GATCTGTAGGTTTCTACGGTAATACTGGGCTTCTGGCCGCATTTACAAGAACGAATGAATCTGATCGTTTTCGCCGGAAGATAACGGTCTTGGCAAAAAGCATTCGTTCGAGTGAGAAGAGTAATTAAAGAGATTTCTCAGAGTGCACGAGGCGTCGAGCTGAGCTCAGCTATTGTTACAGGCGGCCGTCTCTCTATCCCTTTGCTTCTCCCCCCTTCCATTCCGTTCTACAAGTCTGCAAAACCATACTGGCGGAGAGATAGCATTCAGGAAGTGGAATTCCGGATTAGGGAACCGGTAGGATATGTCTGACAGAGAAAGATAAACGTCTATCGGCGACCGAGCCGCGCTGGTTTATCATAAAATCGATATACACTCGCCTGCTGCTCTCTGTCTATAGTCTTCGACGAAAGATTTTGCCAGAAGGGATTTCAAAGCTGTTTCCACTGTCCACCGCAAGTAGCGTTAGAATCGGTGACTACACTTTCGCAATCATGTCACGCGAATTTTGTCACGTAGATGTGACATATTTTATGGGTAGGTTACATTATAAATTACCGGTCGAGGGTAATCTCCGGGAGTTTCTTCGAGAGGGTAGTGCATTCGTGGTCATGAGGATACTCCATAAATTTCTCTTTCGCTCGGTTTTATTTTATAATCCCATATTTACCCGTACTCTCTTTTAAAAACTTCTACTCTTCTTGGTATAGTCCCAGTCAATCAGTTCGTATTCAGTAAAACCCTCAGTAATTTAGCTATAGTAATATATACTAAATATATGCTAATACATTTCCACTAGCATATGATTACCGAATCGGTTCAATTCTCACGAGACACGGAGTAGGGAAATGGCGTAGAATGGTCGGGGGTAGGCGAAACTTGACGGTAAGGGAAGGCAGGCAAACATCTACAGAACGAAATCGGTACAGCCGGGGATATTGTCGCGCTAATGCGTGCACCACTTGGTGCAATCAGAGGAACGCTCGACGAGTGTTGCGTAGACAGGACAATATACAGAGAGAGAGAGAAAGAGAGGAAGAGAGACCATCGTATGGTGGCAAGAATTTCTACTTAGATACAGAGACTCTCTTTCGAGGTATGAAGATCACTTCCCTTTGAAAGGGATGATACGCTTTTTTTTCTTAAAGGTGTGGTTAGAAGGCTCTTCAGACGAGCACAAGGACCTACGAGTGTGGGAGGAAGCCATTGAAGGCCGTTTTAAATTCAGGCAACGATGTACATACTGATGACGGGAATTAACCGTGAGCTGGCTGTTAGACGATAGAAAAAAAAGCTCAAGTTTCCTCTTCAAAGGGTGTATATGTATGCGTGTGTGTTTTTTTCTCATTCTTCAGTAGTTCCCTGTTGAATATTCAGGGGAAAATTATAATCTTTCACGGCTAAAGGGAGAATCCATTTTCAAATTACCATTTCTTCGTTTTGTCTCTGCCTGTTTGTTACAATAGCAGGTTCGATTGTTATGTTCGACGAAAGGAACAGCAGTGCAGCGGAGAAATAGGATCGATCGATTGAACGGAATTTCAAATTCGAGAGTCTCGTTTGCCACAAGAGTCGACGCTTATGTATTCCTCGGGATTTTATATTCAACATGGCTGCCATATTTGACAAAAAAAGATACAGAGTAAAACAAAGAAAAATTCAAAGGTACCAAATGACGATTTATTTTAAACCTAACCTAAATTATCAACGTTACCTGAAAATTATTCTAATAGTGAACGTTATTCGATGAAAATCTAACAAACTGTCACATTCTTTATCGATATCTTGCTCCGCTGGATATCGACCAATGAAAAATTAGCTCGTAGAACTGTTCTCAGCAAAAATGCTCAATTAACCTAGCAATTTGAAACGAACGAAATAGGAAATCACACGAATTACAAGCCTAGATTCCTGCAATCTGGCAAAGAAAAAAAAGAAGAAAAGAAAGGGGGATACACAAAAGAGGGGAAAAAGAATAGCAGTTCACTTTCAAGAAAAATAGAGTCATCGACGTGGAAGAGTCTTTTCCAGCCCGCGTAACTTTTGTCCAACAACTCCGTCCCCTCCCAACTCTTCCCCCCTCTTCCTTCCTTCCTTCCTTCCTTCTAGACTTTCCACAGTTTGACGAGATTAACGTGGCAAATATTTGCCAGGCCACCCTGTATATACATGGTCTCGCGCGCGCACAGCACCACGGAGAAACAATTCCAATAAGACGACGGATGCTGTTAGGACGGGAATTCAATTTGAATTTTAATCATTGTTCGGTAGGGGAACATCCAGCGGCGATGCAACACGGTGGCCAACTGAGGCTGGCGAATCTGCCCTTCGT